AAACAAGAAATGATAATAACAATGTTGAATGGCTGAAACAGAATCAATCTCTGAATCCCACTTCTAGTGCAGGTATCACATGAGGTCCACCATAGCCATGGCTGCCCTTCTTCCTCCTTCCTCCGAGCCCGAGGCTATGGCGGACTACCAGGGCATCGCCCTGCTGTCCAAAGGACAACACAAAGCAGGTATGGCTGCTCTAGCTCAAGCCTCCATGCCTGACTCTGCCTCGAAGCTTCTTGGTGTAGATCTACCCCAACTGGGGCCTTCCTGCCGCAGTGCCCACCAAGGTGATGAAGATGGCAACCACCATAGCCAGGTAAGTCCTGGTCCTTCCTCCTGTGTGTCCTTGCTCCTTCCCCAGCAGCTCAGCTCTGTGCTAGCGCTGCTCCAGCAGCGCTCCAACCAGTGTGTCGCCAAACTTGCACATCGACAGTGAGGAGGAGCACCTGGCTCCTCCTGGAGATATAGTGGGCTGCTTGCCTCTTGGCGAGTGACTTCCTAGGCCCCGCGGCCTCCAAGCAACTGGTACCTCCTCCCTTTCGGAGGGAAACATCATTGCAGACTGACATTGCCCGTACAGGTCCTGGACTCAGACTGGTTGGACTGGGACCCGCCTAGACCTAGCCTACGACTACCGGGCCTCTAAAAATGCCAACTTTTGTCTTCTTCTGCTCGGCCTCGAGTACCCGGCTCATCTACCTCTACCTGGTGTGGTACCGGCCTAGCTGCTCCTTGAGTGTTTTCCGCTGCTTCATGTGTCGCAGGCCTCTTTCCCCGCCACTTGAGTGTTTTCCCCGCTGCAACCCTCAATGTCACGGCCACAGGTAAGTACCGAACCTTCGGGCCCTCTGAATAAACAAGTGCCCTTGTGGGTCACACACACACTCAAGCCAACTTGAAGACCAGCAAGCATGCACACACTCAGACTCAGAGAACTCAGCAACAAGTGGGAAACTCAGCAAGGCATTCATTCTATGAGCAAAACTCATAAATCAGCTGGGTGTCTCAGTCCATGTTTGGCAGGTCATTACATAATTTACATTACCCCCCTCTTAAGAGTGAGGTCCCCTCGAGCGAGTGTCCCCAACAAACGCATCGTAAGCAAACATAGCAAAGAGATTTTGTGAGTACTTGCAGAGATTTTTGGTACAGCATTAGAGGCTATTTGTCGCTCGTAGGCTTTAACAATGCGAGGTGCGCTGCGCAGCAGTTCCTTATTTGAGATCCAATGGAGATCGTCCAACGGGTGATACATGAATGATTGCACGAGTAATCATGTCTTCACGATAGTCAAAGAACTCCGCATCACGATGTATATACAACTTTGATGCATGAAAGATTGGGTATGTACGCAGATGAGGAGGCACGCCAATTGTATATGAAGGACTGAATTCGTCTTTGCCAATCACGTCTAGAACTTCCCACAGACCATAATAGAGTGAGAGAAGTTTGTGTGACACTCCCTCTTCTTCCAAAAATTCAGACATCTTGACCCAAACATAACTTCTCACTTTGATATCTGAAGGTTGGCGTTTCTTATTCGCATGATGGATCACGGCGTGTTGTCGCTTGGTCATTGATGCAATGGCAACTTTGAGCAAGCGATCATACTTGGCACTGGAGCCAAGCCTGCGTGGTGTTAAACCAGCCGGTGTAGGGGTCGTACCCTGAAGGACTTTCGAGCCTTGGTCGACCCCACTGCGGGTCCCACTTGGCTCGACCCGCCCACGCTCACGCTCAGGGCGCGGGTCGTTCATTCCAGGGGCACCCCCACCTAGTGCTTTGAGATGGATGGGGGTGGGCCAGTTGCGAGAGGGCTTTACATTGGGGGATGTAGCTCCGCTCTCGCGTCAAGATGGTAGCTCTTTGGCACTCGTGGCGTTTTCTCGATTCAGTTAAGTCTGACCAGGCAATTGCTCCTTCCAATACGCAGGCAGTCCAGGGAATTCATTGAGAGTTTATCTTCTTACCGTGCGCAGGCCAAGCGTCATCCATTGGGCCACGCACCTTTTTACTTGGTCTAGTGGCTCGGGACAGCCCCGGCAGCATCCTCGGGGTAGGGCGGCGTCGCCCGGACCCCTAGCCGCTATATTTTTTTTGCGAGAGCCACTAGCATCGCATCACCTATCCAAGGCCCCCCTTAGTCCTTTCAAGGGTCGCATTGCACATTAGAGAGACACTCCATGCAACCTCCACACAAACCAAGTCCACACATCAACCATCCACCCAAGCGCCCGGTCTCAACTCATCCCGCATCCATGGCTTAGGCCGAATCCAAGTCCTTTCCTTAGCCAATCTCTCACCCTAACCCTCATCCGCGGGCCAAGCCCCGTCCAAACCTCCCCTAGCTACTCACCTGCGCAAGACCACACAAGACAAATGACCAAGTACAATCCCCATCTGGGTCAACACATCGCCCCCCTTCCCGCAATCCTAAGTTGTTTTTGCCTTCCATTTTCCCTTATGAGTTTCCTCCCCGTTCACACAGGCAAGCCATCCAATCGCCTCAATCATGCATTCCGGGAGGGTGGTTGAGTCAAACTGACCTCGTCCAAAATCAGCACTCCTTTTTGCTTTCGCAAATGCACTCAATAGTCCTGTAACAAGGGACCGGCAACCCTTCCCTTGCCCTCGCTTTCCACCAAGTGAGGACTAAGTTCCTTTCCATTCGTTCCCTGGCAATGTAACAGGTGAGGGTAGAGGTTAGTCACATGCCATGGAGGGGAAGGGGAGAGGGAAAAGGTGAGGGTTAAAGAGTTTGAAGGAATGGGAGAAGAGGGAGAGAGAGAGAGAGAGAGAGAGAGAGAGAGAGAGAGAGAGATCAAGAAGTCTCACTTCCTACTCGACCTTGATCCTCGCCTCTTCCTAACCGGCCCTACCCGGGGCTTCCCGTGCCCCCTTGCGGCCCCTTCGGCCCTCGAGAGGATGAGGGAGGTGATAAGCGAGGAAGGGTTGAGGTGGTCGGCTATGGTGGACGGGCGTAGGTGATGGAGGTGGAAGAAGGGTTGGGGGGTGGTCGGCTATGGTGGACGGGTGTGGGTGATGGAAGAGGGGGAAGGGTTGGAGGTGGTCGGCTATGGTGGACGGGTGCGGGTGATGGAGGAGGAAGAAGGGTTGGCGGTGGTTGGCTATGGCGGACCGGTGTGGGTGATGGGGGAGGATGAAGGGTTGGAGGTGGTTGGCTATGGTGGACGAGTGTGGGTGACGGAGGAGGAAGAAGGGTTGGAGGTGGATGGCTATGGTGGAGGGGTGTGGGTGATGGAGGAGGAAGGAGGGTTGGAGGTGGTCGGCTATGGTGGACGGGCATGGGTGATGGAGGAGGATGAAGGGTTGGAGGTGGTCGGCTATGGTGGACGGGCGTGGGTGATGGAGGAGGATGAAGGGTTGGAGGTGGTGGGCTATGGTGGACGGGCGTGGGTGATGGAGGAGGATGAAGGGTTGGAGGTGGTTGGCTGGTGGACGGGTGCGGTTGATGGAGGAGGAAGGAGGGTTGGAGGTGGTCAACTATGGCGGACGGGTGTGGGTGATGGAGGAGGATAAAGGGTTGGAGGTGGTTGGCTATGGTGGACGGGTGTGGGTGATGGAGGAGGAAGAAGGGTTGGAGGTGGTTGGCTATGGTGGACAGGTGTGGGTGATGGAGGAG